CTAAACCTATCATCTGGAATTTTGTTGAAATCAGAAATTTCTTTTTCACAATCATATGAAATACTATCAACCTTAGCTCTATCATAAGCTAAAAATGGTAGTAATTTTCTATATTGTTCCTTACTTATCTCACATGAATGATGTAACTCAGTTAATTTTCCATACAATCTTTTTGCTGAATTACAGAAAATATTTCTTTGTGCTAACAACAAATTTACTTCTTTTGCTAATTTTTCTCTATCCTCCATAATATTTGAAACTTTCAATTCTAAGTAATCAATTCTAGTGACTTTTGAATCCAACATTTTTCTTGTCTCTAGTAAATGATCACTTAACTTTTTTGCTTCATTGCTAGCAGACACAACGATTGAATCAAAGTAAGTAACAATTTCATCAAAAGATACTAACTCAGAATTATATAAAGAAACTGGAATGTTAAAAGATTCAAGAATGTTACGTACCTTGGTAGTCATGGGCGACCTGTCAGTAGACTTCGAAACGAAGCATTGTCCACACACTTCGTCAGTCTGTTCATCATCTGAATCCTCTTCCATCTTTGCATACATAGCTCCATGAGTTGGATTTTTCATCTCTTCATCATCTGAACCCGAAGACCATATTTGATATGTGCCATCTGATTCAGTTTCTCCATGAGCCACCAATGACAAATTCTTTGTTTTCTTCTTTACTTCCTCCAATTTCTCAGTGTAGTATGCTTCATCTTTTGTTTTATTTTTCTTTTTCTTCCTTCTTCCTCAACAAGCAATCTGTTGCTAAATGATTTGCTCCATAGCAATAATGACAATTAATCCCTGTATCACCTTTCAACATCATCTTCATTTGCTCCATTTCATTCTTCGAATCTGTCTTCATTTGTTTCTTCTTTTCATCTAGTTTGTTTTTGTTCTCAAAACTACCCTTCGAATCTGATGACTTCTTTGGATTAAAAGGTTTCTTAAAAAATTTCTTTACTCTGTTGTTTGAGTAAAATGCAATAGCCTCATCATCAAAATTCATTAGAAAACCTTCTTCTTCATCAGACTTCGATTTTTCATTCTCTCTTTCTAAGACCTTCGAAACTAGTGCCAATGGTCCACCAAGACTTGCTTTTGCTTCCTCAGCTATTTCATTAACTTCATTTTCATGAGATTTTAATTGATTGTACAAGTCATTCAAAGTTGAAGTATCAAAGCTCTGTTGATTTTTCACCATCATACTCACACTCCTCCACTCCTTTCGAAGTCCCATTACAAATATCAAATTGTACTCCATTGGTGACCTGATTATACTATAACGGTTACAACGATAGATTAGCTGTTGAACCTATCATAGTATGTTTCAATAGACTCATTTTCTTTTTGTCTGAAATCTTTGAGTTCCACCAGGCATTGTTTCACAGATGTGATCTTTGTCTTTTCACTTCCTTGAAATTTATCTTTGAGATTGTTCCAGATTTCTTTAGATGTTTTGCATGTTCTGACATAACTGTACACAACAGGAGGCAACACAGCGTAGCGAAGAGACGCCTAGCGTCTAGAGTATGCCCCCACGTACGCAGCTCGGAACGCCCAGCGTTCTTCTCCCTTGGGCGGTCCGAAGCATATCCACGTCGCCCCACCCGGAGCGAGACACCTGCCCCTACGCGCAGCGTACCACCGAGGGTACGCCCAGCGTTCCGAGGAGGCTCGCGCCTATAAAAACCCTGCGAGGCCAGCCGACTTCTCACACCATTTTTCACTTCTTTCTCTCACTACATTCTCTCTCTAAGTGCTATAAACTCCCCTAAGCCCTAGTTAAACCCCTTAGCTCCCCAAGGGAAGCCCCGAGGCTCCCGGAGTCCCGAGAAAAAGAGTCTTTCGGTTTCGAAATGCTGCTCCAATTAAGTTCCGGTTTTCGATAAAATTCACTGTAAGTGTGCTACGCTTACGCGGTTTTTAATATAGCTTTCAAATAATTATAGGAATGTTATTAGGTCCTTAAAATAATTATTTGGGCTATTATTATGAGTTATATTGAGTGTTATTAATGCTTATATAATAATAATAATAGTCAGACTTTAATTTGTCGCAGTTATCGTTAGACTAAACCTTAGTGGTATTGGTACTAGGTTTTATCGAAGGAAATTGTTTTGAGAGTATCGAAACACTGTTCGAGTACTAAGTCACCACCTTTCAAGTGAGTGCATAGTTACTTTCATCTTACACACAGATATGAAGTATTTTACATAAATTACGTGCTATGTGTGCATATTATCTGAATACTTGTTGTCTATGCTGGATGAATGATTTATACATGTTTTAAATGGTTTAAACTATATATTTATTTTATATCTACAAATATGTTGGGATAAAACATGGGTAGATGAAATAGTTAGTGTGTGATGAAATAAAATAATGAGAGATAGGTGATGATAGGAAGGTGATGATAATTAGGTGAGGATAGATAGGTGATTATGAATTGGTGGTGTAGGATACTACAACCTTGTCCGACAGTTTGGAGATGTAGTCATCTACCAGAGTATAGATGGCGACCACAGACTATTATAGGCAACCCCGTGGAAACACCAGCAGGCTCATAACCTGTAGGTGATGAATCGCGAGTTCAAGCAATGTTGTAACTACGTATTTCATGCAATGATACTCTAACCCCCTTATTATGAATTACGAGTCCAGGCGATGTTGTGGCTACGTATTCATGCGATGATAGACTAACCCTTATCATGATTTACAAGTCCAGGCGATGTTGTGGCTGCGTAATCCTGCGATGATACTCTAACCCTTGCTAGACACATATTGAGGGAGTAATCCCCGAATTAGTATTATCTATGCAACGTAGGCGATGATCCTTAGGTAAAGTTCGTAGGAGCAATCATATAAGGAAATACGATGTAAGGAGATGAGAAGTAAATATGATATAGGAGATGACCCTTGAGATAATATCTTTAGGGAAGACTAAAAGAAGATAATGGGGATGGGTAATTGGGTTGATTGTTTGATTGTTTAAACATAATAATTATATTATTGTGGGTTGAAAACCCTATGTACTCACCAGGTTTCCCAACCTGACCCACTCAGTTTATTTATATCACATGTGTTGATATGAAGTCACAATACACTGAGAGATTTAAAGAGATGTAGATCACTAGTGTAAATAAATGTAAGTTCCGTTTATGCTTATGTTTCTGTATTGATGATGACATCCCAAACGTTTTAACATAAATAAAATACGTTTCTTCGAAAATGTTTTGATAACGTATTTATCGTATTTTTTTGGGAACAATTCCGCAATATTTTTATGAAAAGAAGTACTCTGATTTTTATAAAGCATAAACAAAATCAGTCTTTTCTAACCGTGAAAATGGGGATGTCACAATATATATATATATATATATATATATATATATATATATATATATATATATATATATATATATATATATATATATATATATATATATATATATATATGAGAAAGAGAGAGAGATTCTCGTTTCTCATAAATGAATTAATCCTAAAAGTAACAATTAAACAAACTCCTTATTATAAAAGAGTTTGATTTACCAATCACTAAGAGATGGATTGTTAAATATAACTAGTTGTGAGACCTATGTATTAAATAAGTTATTTTAAAAAAAAAAGCTAAATATAAATATCAAAATATTTAAGAGCTTTGAATTTATAAGAAAATAAGAAAAATAATGAATTATAATAATGGAAATATTTTTTATCTTTTAAATTTAAACAAATAATTTAAATAAATAAAACAAACTAATAAGCTTCAATTTTAGGAATTTTGAAATCCAAAGATAAGTTAAAATGAAATTAATATCCATTTATTACTACATTTATTGCAAATTATTACATTAAAATATTAGGTGGAATTTAATAAAATAGAAAAACGAATAAAATGAGATGTGGAAAAAAAATTCAAAATAACCAGAAAATAATATTTGACAAATTGAATGAGAGTATGATAAGTGACAAAAAAAACCTTCATTATTAAAGGTGATTAATTTTAGGGATTTTCAAATTAAAAGATAAGTTAATTAATGGAATTAATATCCATTTATTACTATATTTATTGCAACTATTATATTAAAATAGTATGTAAAATTTGTTAAAACAGAAAAACTAATAAAATGACATATAAAAAAAATAATTCAAAATAACTATAAAATAACATATGACAAATTGAATAAAAATATAAAAAATAACAAAAAAAATCTTTATTTATTAAAAATGATTTATCATAGAAAGGGTAAGTCCCAATTGCTCCAAAAGCTAAATTTACAAATGGGTATCAAATGGAAAATTAATATTCTATGCATAACCAACTTAATTTAAAGACAAAATAAAGCATTATTAAACGAATATAGTCAAAATTTATAAATTATAAAACAATTTGCAAAAAATAAAGGGATAATCATAAATTCGGAAATTACAATGTGTACTTAGACATAAAGTCGTATCTATTAAATATTATTGTATCAGGTAATATAGAAAATACATATCAAAGATATAACTAATGATTAAAGAAAAACATAAGGGTAACGTTTCATAAATAACTAATACGATAACGAGTGACTTTATCTTATCAATTTATGCATTCGTTTTTTACATCTTCATTAGTTTATATAATAATGTTTTGTTTTTACCAATTTATACAATGAGACGAAAGTATTTACCAATCTCAACCCATTAAATAGTTACACATAAAATATGGTATATTGTACAAATTAAATGTACATCTATACTACACCAGTTATATATACAGTAATAAAGTCTAGTCTCTAAATCTTGAGACATAATCCGAAGATAAAAAGTAGATGATTATAATCCTTTAAAAGAGAAAAAGAAATGAATATATTTTTATTATTTTATTTCAGTGAAATGAAATAGCATTCAATTAGGAAAGGGTAGCAATTACTTCTCTATATCTTTCCTTCAAGCACCAGTGATCTATAAATTTGAACCTACGCATCTTCAAATTCAAATCATCAAATATCCTTCGGTTTTTCAACTAACGTAAGTATGGCTAGCACTACAATCGTGGTGCTCTTTTTTCTAATTCTGTGGGTTTCAACCACCACCGCCTACCCACCACCGCCACCAATCCAATGCCCCGCGGGAACCGGCGGCTGCACCCTCCAGAATTCCTACGGCGTATGGGGTGACAGAAAAGACTGTCGTGCCTCCAACGTCATCTACCCAACCACCCAACAACAACTTCTCTCAATCGTAGCCAATGCAGCCAAAAACAAACTTAAACTCAAAGTTGTATCCAAATTCTCCCACACCATACCCAAATTCGCCTGTCCTGCCGACGGAAATTCCTCAGTTCTCATCAGCACCCAAAACTACAATTCCGGCATCGATATTGATGTTTCTGCACTCACTGTGACTGCGGACGCCGGAGTTAGTCTCCGAGATTTGATAAACAAAGTGGAAGATGCAGGTTTGAGCCTGGTAGCTGCGCCTTACTGGGAAGGTGTTAGTGTGGGTGGGGTGATAAGTACCGGTGCTCACGGCAGCTCATGGTGGGGCAAAGGCGGAGCAGTTCACGATCATGTGATGAAAATCGATATGGTGGTTCCAGCTAAAGAAAACGAAGGGTTTTCCAAGATTCTTCATTTGGATGCCAAAAATCAACTCTTCAATGCTGCCAAAGTTTCTTTAGGCACCTTGGGTATCATCTCCAAGGTGACACTAAGTTTGGTGAAAGGGTTCAAGAGAAGCATCACCTTCAATTTCACCGACGATGGTGGTTTGGAAGATTCATTCATGAGCCATGCAAAGGCTCATGAGTTTGGAGACATCACATGGTATCCTTCCAAACACACGGCGGTTTACAGATACGATGATCGGGTTCCGATGACCACGAAGGGCGATGGCACCAACGACTTTCTTGGTTTCCAGTCTAATCTCATTGTCGTCTCTAAATCTACAAGAGCCACTGGTATGCACACTTCCAAGAATCTGAATTTTTTTCGGGTATGAATCAATCACAAAACCCCCATTTAATAAACGATTATATGTTGATCTATTAACAGAGAGAAAGCTCGAAAAGGCGAAAAACATAAAGGGCAAATGTGCAATGGCGAGTTCTTTCATAACCTACAAGAAACTAATAGCAAACGGGTTAAAAAACAACCTAATCTTCACCGGATATCCAGTCATCGGCCGTCAAGGCAAGATGCAAACTTCAGGTTCATGCTTGTACTCATCATCTAAAGATATCGCAAACACTTGTGCATGGGACCCACGCATCGACGGATTATTCTTCTACGAAACCACCGCCATCTTCCCTGCGCGAAAGTTCAGGGACTTCATTCTGGATGTTAAGAAGTTGCGAGACCTAAATCCCGACAACTTTTGTGGCGTAGACATATACAACGGACTGTTGATACGTTTCATCAAGGCATCAACTGCTTATTTAGGTCAATCTACTGATTCAGTGGTGGTCGACTTCAACTACTATCGAGCTGACTCGGGAACGACGCCGAGGCTGAACCAAGATGTGATGGAAGAAGTGGAGCAAATGGCGTTTTTGAAGTATGGTGCGAGGCCACATTGGGCTAAGAACAGGAAAGTCGCGTTTTCGAAGGTGGAGAAGAAGTACGAAGGGTTTAATGGGTTCGTGGCAGCTAAAACGAAGATGGATCCGGAGAATATGTTCTCAAGTGAATGGTCGGATGAGTTGTTGTTCGGAAAGAAAGGGGTGGATTTTGATGGGTGTGGTTTGGAAGGTGAATGTGTGTGCTCGGAGCACAGACACTGTAGTCCGACAAATGGCTATTTTTGTCGATCTGGGCTTGTTTACAAAGAAGCTCGTGTTTGTAGATACTCACCATCATCACTCACTTGATTGTTTAATTTTTTAGTTAGTGACCGGTCTTAATGTAGAATATATAAATCAAAATAACAGCCTGTGTTTGTTTATTGAATGGAAAATTGAAAGCAAAAAAACTTCTTATATGTTGATTATAAAAAGAACTAATGTATTGAATGGAAAATTGAAAGCAAAAAAACTTCTAATACTTTTATTCATGATAGAAGGCTATATATAACCCTCTTAAAAGCCACATACAAAAATAAGAAAAGAGCCTAAAGACTCGTACCATCTACTGACCCATTCTTCCCATATGCTCCAAAGTCGATGAAATTGGTCAAACAAAGAAAAACAATTCTATATACTATGCTAATAAAATATAAGATAATAAATATTTATTATAACCAAAGCTTCAGCCATACATGTAAAATTGTGACAACCAAACCGATTAATAAACCAACAATCACCTCCTTAATCGGTTTGTTTTTTCATCCCACTAGATCACAGCAATGCCGACTCCTCCTCGATGATCAAGTTTGCTTCTTTTTCCCACTTTGGACATTCGTTGTTGTAATGATCGAATTCACCACATTTGTAGCATTTTACGTGACTATTGTCCCGAACACGTTCCTTGCCATCTTGGCTCCTCCCGGACCCACGACCTCTTCCCCGGCCACGTCCAAAGCCATCCCGATGCGAACCGCCACTGCCACAATGCATACAACCATCCGAATTTTCTTCTCTTGACAATAACAACCCACCATGAACGTCCTCCACCTTCTTGGATCCTTTGATGCACTCCTCATATGCCTTTAGTCTACCGACGGCTTCATCAAAAAACATCGTATCCAACTCAAAGCATTGCTCAATCGATGCCACAATTTGAAGAAAGGACTTGGGCATAGAATCAAGTAACCTTTTCACCAAGTCAACTTCTTCAAGTTCATGTCCGAGACTCCGTGCTTTCGAAGCTAAACCACTAAACTTGGCTGCAAAATCATCAACAGTTTCTCCCTCCTTCATATGCAAGCTTTCTAGTTCCCTCTTCAAAGTTGCTAATCGAGCCGTTCTTACCCAATCCACACCCAAATACCGAGTTTTTATTCCTTCCCAAACCCTTTTTGGATCGGTGTAATCGGACATTTGCAACACAATCTCTTCTGGTATTGCTTGAAACAAGAAAGCAAGAGCTTGTTTCTTCTTCTTTGGATCCAATTCTCCACCGGATGTCTTTGCTTCAACAGTCTCCCATATTCCATGTGCATCCATGATGGACTTTACTTTGACTGCCCATACCAGATAGTTGGTTGGGGTCAAAATCAGAATCTGATATGACATTGAACCACCATCTTTTACTGCCAACGCTATTTTTCCTTTCTTGTGACAGCCCCAAACTTTTCAGATCCAACCCGTTCCAATTGAGACTCTAATTCCACCAGTCAAGAAAACCAAGCTCCTGCTTCTTCTGTTTTCTTTTACCAGCTGTGAGTAAGCAAAATCAAAACCCACCCGTTCTGATTTCTTTCCACTTCCCTTCCCCGCTTCTGGTTAGGCTCTCTTTAACCCGAAACAAGGATCATCAAGGATGGAGCTGCATCTTTTTCTTGTTATAAGAACTTACACCCCCTTCAACAGAACCTTGGAGCTCTGATACCCAAATGTAGAATATATAAATCAAAATAACAACCTGTGTTTGTTTGCTGCTCTGATATGTCAACATAATAGAAGAAAAGAAAATATTGATTATAAAAAGAACTAATGTACTAAATGGAAAATTGAAAGCAAAAAAACCTCTAATACTTTTATTCATGATAGAAGTCTATATATAGCCCTTTTAAAAGCCCCATGCAAAAACAAGAAAAGAGCCTAAAAACCCGTACCACCTACTGACCCATTCTTCCCATGTGCTTCAAAGTCCATGGAATTGGTCAAACAAAGAAAAACAATTCTATCTACTAAGCTAATAAAATATAAGATAATAAATACTTATTATAACCAAAGTTTCAGCCATGCATGTAAAATTGTGACTACCAAACCGATTAATAAACCAACACTCAAAACTCATATATATATATATATATATATATAATGTATTTTTATATTTAACAAAATGCATAGGCAGGTGAATCCTGTGAACACATAAGGAATATTACACAATTGACTTTTAATCGCATACAGCGGCGGAACATTAAACTTAGGGGGCCGGAAGCAAAACTTAAAAACAGAAGCGTGTAAACTATTTAAATTTGATTCAACGAGATGACATCAAAATTTGAACAAAATAATTAAGATGCAATGTTCTTGCATGGTTTATCAAAGTGGAACTCATAGATCTTTTGTGTTTTTAAAATATTGTACAATTTCCTCTAAACTAATTTTTTCTGAAAATCTTTTTTGAAGAACAAAACTAATAAGTCATTCAAAAACTCAGTAACAGGAACACTAGACATAGAGATGTAAACGAGAATCAAAGTCCTCAAGGTTGACTCCTTAATACGATGACTTGAGATTGAGTTAATAACCCTAATACGTACCCTAGCCTAAAATTTAATCAATGACCTGGATTAGATTTAGATTGATGTCTATATAAATAAAATAAAACAATATACGTTATTATTGGATTTTAATCAAACAATTTTTTTAATTGAATTTGGATAGATATATCAATTATCCTCAACTTTAAAATCAATTGAATTTTGACCACTATTATTATGCATATTAAACAAAAAACTAATAATAAAATAAGGTGAAAAGTAAATATTTTGTTGATATTAGTTTGGGAAAATGACATAAAACCATTAAGTTATCACAACAATGTCGATTTTACCTTAGACGTGTTTTAGGTACACTAAAATCCGAAGTTTTGTTTAATTTGTTCAATTTTACCCTTATTGCCGGTTTCCAGGTAACCAACCGGCTACCTAATACCAGTAAAGCCCTTGACTTTTAAAAAATGTTCCAATTTACTCTTAAGTTTTTCAAAAATGTTCGAATTTACCCTTACATTGATTTTTATTTTGATTGTTGTTGTTGTTGTTTTTGTTGTTCTTATTCTAATTATTATTATTATTATTATTATTATTATTATTATTATTATTATTATTATTATTATTATTATTGTTATTATTATTAATTTTTAATACATTTTAAATTTATAAAAAATATTTTATACATACATTTTTTAAATGTATAAAAATATTTTTACTAATATAAATATATTTTTAAAAATATATATACTTGTATTTAGTATTTATATACATTTGAAACCCCATGTATTCCTGTAGTAACGTGTTTATATGCTAAAAATGTATTTATTTGTACTTAGTAGGCATAAATATATATTTATTTCATATAAATATATATTATATGCATATAAATATAAAAATGCATATTTATATGGTTTATATTATATAAAAGATATAATTAGATGTATTTGTACATATTACAAAGTAGAAATATGTATTTATTTCATAATTATATGCATACTAAAGTTTTTATATAAAGGAAATACATATTTTTATCTATTAAATACAAATAACAATATTTTTAAATGTATAAATATGTCTTTAAATGTATAAATACACTTTTTATTTGTATTTAATACATATAAATATGTATGGAAATATATAAATACGTTTTCATTTGTATTTAATAGATATAAATATGTGTTTCACTTGTATAAAAACTATCTTATACAAATAGTTATGAAATAAATACATATTTATAGTTAGTAATATGTACAAATACATATAAATATATCTTTTATATAATATAATCCATATAAATATGTATTTTGTATTTATATGTATTAAATATATTTTATATTAAATAAATATATATTTATACTGCTATATACAAATAAATACTTTTTTAATATATAAATACGTTTTAATGGAATACATGGGAATTAAAATGTATATAAATACTAAATACAAGTATATATATTTTTAAAAATATATTTATATTAATAAAAATATTTGTATACATTTAAAAATGTATGTATAAAATATTTTCATACATTAAAATATATTAAAAATATGTAATAATAATAATAATAATAATAATAATAATAATAATAATAATAATAATAATAATAATAATAATAATAATAATAATAATAATAATCAAAATAATCAAAATAAAAATCAAGGTAAGGGTGAATCCAAACATTTTTGAAAAACTTAAGGGTAAATACAAACATTTTTGAAAATTCAAGAGCTTTACTGGCATTAAGTAACCGGTAAATTACCTGAAAACCGACTATAAGGGTAAAAATGAACAAATTAAACAAAACTTTGAGATTTACTGAACCTAAAACACATCGAAGGGTAAAATCGATATTTTTATGAAAACTTAAGAGCTTTTATGTCATTTTCCTATTAGTTTTTCTTTTCTTGTGGGATATATAAGGTCAACAACAATGTTTTTACATGAAATCTATTTGTTATTAACGAAGAATTAGTGTTTATATTATTATATTGACGTATTTCAATATTTATAGAAATTTGATGTAAAGGATTAACAATATTAATGATATTTATATTGCATGGAAAATAACAAACTAGAAGATGAGATAAAAAAAAAAAGAATGAAAGTATGGCGCGATTCTACCCTTTGCAAAACTAAACAAGAGCTTAGGGCCCAAAATTCTAAAAGGCCTTCGGTTTTAAAGTTTATTCTATTATATATATATATATATATATATCCTTCTTAATAAATAAATGTTTTTTTTTATCACATGTCAATCTCTTATGAGTTTTGATACTTGTCATTTTGAGGTATTTTTGAAATAAATCTTATCCACTTGTTAAATTTTGGTTTGTTTCGATTTTAAATTTAAAGTCATATACTTATATATGTAAAGTATTAAATATCATATATATGATATTAAATTGCAATAAATACGTTTATTTTTTTTTCTTATTTTAAAGTTGTAGATTAAAAAATATTTTCTTTTTGCACTTTAATATTTAATCTTTTTTTTTTTTTTAAATCAACCTGTGTAATACACGATATATATATATATATATATATATATATATATATATATATATATATATATATATATATATATATATATACGTACTAGGTGTGAGATCCATTTATTACATGAGTTTATTTAAAAAAAAAACTAAATACAAAATTCTAAACATTTGAAAAGTATGAATTTATAAGAAAAGTAAAAAAATATTGAATTATAAAAATTAAAGTCTTTTTTACTTTTTTAAATTTAAACAAATAATTTAGATAAATAAATAAAGAAAATTAATGAATCTTTAATTTGGTAATTTTAAAATTAGAAAGAAAGTTCATTAATGAAATTGATACGCATTTATTATTGAATATAAACAGTACCTATAATTTAATAAAATGAAAAAAACCATAAAATGACATTTGGAATAAAAATTAATTTAAAATAACTAGAAAATTACATGTAGCAAAATAAATCAAAATGTGACATGACAAAAAGATCTTTATTTATTAGGAATGATTTCTTGGGTTACAAAGAAAAGTTGAAGCTTGACCTAGTGGTAAAAACATAGTTTTATAAAACTAAAGGTCTCAAGTTTGAAAATGTTTGCTTACTTTAAGGGCCCTATTTTTTTTTGGTTGAGCCACCCATGGGTGAAACATAGAAGGTGGAAAGTCAATGAGATCCATTTTGTTTAAATAATTTCTATCACAACTAGGAATTCTATACCATATAACAACAACAATGATAACATTAGTGAACCAAAAATGTGAAAGCGTGTATGATGCTTATTTAATAACAACAAATTTTCCATCAAACACTCTATACAAGCATTTCAAATAGTCAACAAAGAATTGGAAACCCTGGAAATCCCGGTTTAAGTCCATTTTGGACTAGGATTTCCTTATTGGGCCTAATGGGCCAATAAGCTCCCAATTTGACTATTCTAGGCTTAGGACTCTTAAATGGGCCCTAATTGGACCCACTTTCATTTATTTTAACATTTTGGGTCATAATGGGCCTAGATGAAATAAAATACCCTAATGGACCTTATTTGACCATAACTAACCTAATTAGCTTTGATGGGCTATGAAACCCATTCTTTCATTCTAATTGGGCCGTAAACACCTCTAAGGGCCCAATGGCTCGAAAACCATCAAAATGGGCCTCTTATTATTGGAACCAAGCATTAAAGGCCCATTCCATCCCTCTTCTTTCTCCCTCTCGGTCCATCTAGATATATATAAAAAAAAGAGAAGGAGATTAAGAGAGTTGACTTTTATGTTGACACCTCATGATTATCCAACATACCTCTAAGTTATATCCCTCATGTATCCATGCCAAGTTCATGTATCAAGGCAAGCTCATTCCCCCCTCTCCTTATCTACAACCGAGAGCACCACACACCACCACCATTTTCATTTTGATCAAACTCTTACAAGAAAAACTCTCAAGAAATCTTCCATTTTCTCCAATTTTTTGAGCATTGGTGTGTGTCTTCAAGGAGTTTATCAATTAATATCATCATTCTTGGTAAGTCTTTACTTGAATCCATGGCTTAACTTCTATATTTTATCAAACATCTCATCTTAACTCATGCAAATTCATGATCATGCTTCTTAGAACCCATCTAAGCCTAAAGACCTCTCAAAAAACTTGCTAGGGCCGAGAATCACCTCCACCTCTTCCCATTTCTTCTTCGAACCGATAACAACTAAGCAAGGTGAGTTCATACCCCTCTATTTTTGGTTTTCATATGTTTTATGGGGGAGAATACAAGTAAAATGTGTAGATCTATGTGTATGTGTATGTTATGTGTGATTTTATGTGTTTGTGTGATAAATATGTAACAAAAAGAATGGAAATCTTGAGATTTATGGATCTAAGAGGACGATAAACATGATCTAGAATATCTTACACTAAACAAGTTAAGAAAAATACCCTCTAAGATTAAAACAAACATATGGCAACATAAAACTCATTTTTGGGCTATAATTGTCAAATAAACAAAAGTTGGGTTACAAATTTGCCATCGATGGTTTTTTAAGGACTAAAAGAGTCAAAACAGTAAAAATAAATTTTTTATGGATATCATACTCTTTTAAGGGCTAGAAATGTAATTTGTAGCTTAATGGCCCAAATTTTGGGCTTTTCAGCCCATTAAGCCAAAACTTGCGAAAATTACAACTTTCAAGGGGTTGAAATGGTAAACTTCTCAAAACAGGGGGTAAAAGGGGTGAATAAAACAAATTCAGGGGTTATAATGTTGTAATTTCCAAATATGGATCAAAATTGTAAACTTTTTGGATTTCGGGTCAAAATTGTAAAAGTTGCAAAAAGTTTGGGCTTTAACTAAAAAATACTTTTCTGGAAGGGCTGAAACTGCCAAAGAATAAGTTTTGAGCTAAAAATATCACTTGAACAAGTCTTTGGGTCAAAGGTGTCAAGAAAATGGTTTAAGGGCTTAAAATGTCTTTTTAAAATAAAAGGACTAAAATTGTCAATTCTACCAAAGAAGGGCTGAAAGGGGTTCAAACCAAGATTTTTGAGTCAATTATTTTATTTTAAGATATTTGAGTTAAAATAAAAATACCAAACTACAATTCATGAAAATGGAAAGATGAAAATACATATAACTCCAACATCGTTAAAAATAACCGACCGACCTTGTTCTGGTGCGAAATTAACAATCACCCAATCAAACTTTCCAACAATTAAACTATACCTAAAACAAGTAAACATTAAATTCTTTGGGCTTGAAAGTTCCAATCATGCTTATTGGGCCTTTGTGATCCATTAACATGATTTTTGGGCCCAATGGATAATAATAAATATTATTGGTCCTTCTATGACCCAATTTCATATTTAAGGGACTCTCAATGGCTTTTAAGTGCTATTGGGCCTTAGTGGTCCATTAGCATTGCTAGTAAGGTCCAAGTGAATCAAATGCAAAATGGGCCAGCGTGTCCTTCGTATATCCAATAGCCATAAATAATACGTGGGATTAGTAGGATTTTGTAATCCTTTTCTCCTCGTTTATTAGGCATATCGTCAATCCAAGTAAACAAATACGGGTCGATAATCAATAGCAATCAAAGTCAATTGGGATTTAGTGAGTAATAACGGGTGGCACCAACGTGTGTCGGTCGTAGTCTGTAGTTATAATTAAAGTCTCCTAGAGGGAGAGCGAGAGTTTGTGTATAGATCTATACGAGGGTGACTCCCCCACACCTCAGCTGTTTTTGCTACAGTTAGACTCGACTAGTCTAGGGTGACAAAATCTTAAGATCAATTTCGACGTTCACCAGAGTGCCAAGACAGATGAATTAGTCATTATCATGTATGGTTATAACGACTCACATAAATAAATCCAATAATAATCAAGTAATCAAGGAAAATAAAAAATCATTCAAGTGATGGAATAACAATTCGAACAGTTATACGATATATATATTTTTTTATTTTATTATCGGAAAACATCAGGTTTTCTGGGGAAGTTCAACATTTTTCACTGGTACTTTTAATACGAAGCTTTTGAACTATACACGTCTGGAAATCATCATGCATATATTTACGGATCTTCACACTTTTATATAAACAATGTTCTTTTCAGAAAATATCGGATTTTCTGGGTTGTTTTCTTTCAAACTACACAAAACATTTTTCATATCAAACCTGCTTATGAACTCACCAACTTTCCATATGTTGACCATTTTCAAAATAACTTGTATTCTCAGGTAACAGGTAAGCTGAGGAGTAGTACCAAGTATGATTAGGGTGTTGTGCTTTTTGAAAACTATCAAACTCTTTATGTTATGGATTTGTAATGTTAAAACAATGTACTTGATGTGAATAATGTCAGTTGTAAAGTATTGATGCATGGTGATGTTTATGTTATGATTCATGTATATTCATTGTGATGATATTCAATTTAAGTCACGTGAGCCCTCGGACATTTCCGCCGTCTGGTTCGGGGGTGTGACAGGTTGGTATCAGAGCACTGTTTATAGTGAACTAGCATATCTAACCACACATTGATATGCAACTATAAACCAAAGAGGGACCAAAAACAACTCTGAACAAAACAAAACAAATAAAACACAACGATAAAACAACTCTACTTGTACGATATAGGAAAAATAACATAATACCAAATCAAATAAGATAATGCTAGCATCTCGGTTAAGTCGGGACTGTTCATAGTCGTATTAAGGAGTGAATGTAGCCTGATCAACTACATTTCCTCCGAGGTACAACTATCACATGCCCCGAGGAAATCACGATGGTTGGTAAACCTAAAAACATACCCCTTTATTACCAAGAAGAGAACATCAACTCAAATAATATAGCAATTAAAACGTCGTAGGAGTAATGATAGTCTATTCATATACCTTCTCTCAGTCACCATGGAAGGAGAGCACCAGGGAATTCAACTTCATCAGGTCTTAGTGGCCCACGGGATGATCGATGACGAGCCCGAGGGAGAAGCACACAACATTGGGTCTGACGAGTACACGACGTTGGACCGAAGTGGAACATGATGAATATGTAATAATTGATTTCGAATATGACTAGTCTGACCAGGAGTTAGACGAAGAGAAGGGCGTAGAGGAGACGCATAGTGAACCCCACCTGTCTAAAGCCCCGTCAGATTCCTGCATGGTTCAAAGGGTTGATACAAATTATCTATGCTCTCTCGAGGAGGCAATTATCAGCCGCAAGCTTCAACTTATTACGACCAAGGAAAGGGTTGTTAAAGCCAAGCAAAGAGTGGAGGTAATCACTCAAGAGGCGGATGAACTGGCTGAACTCCTGATACGTCAGCTCGACGATTGAGTGTCGTTGTCATCTCTACTAATAGGACTTGCTCTACTACTTGCTATATAGGTCCCACTGTACGAGGAACTAGCTGTATCTTTCGTTATTATTATGCTACTATGATCTATGTTATGTACCGTCGACTCTATGTTTAAGTGATTACACTACTCATAGAGTCATTACGCTGCCGGACTCGCACCACTTATGTATGCTCTTTCGAGCAAATTTTCATGTATCAATGTACGGATGTTATTAGTGAAAAATATATGCGTTCTATTGTGATGTTGTGTGTTGTGTATCCATGATTGTATCTCAACATGTGAAACAACTTAAGTACATGCACTACACCTAGTTTATAGGACCACAAACTCATAGAAATCATACACACTCAACGTCTTTCTGTTCCATGACAGAAAAATGTCTCAACAACCAACCCGTGGAAACCCGGGACCAACCCCACCCGAGGTCAACTCAGCTGCATTCCAAGCAGCTGTATCTACTGCGGTCACCGCAGCCATGGCACAAATCCACCAAGAGAACAATGGGGGAGGTAATGGACAAGGAGCTGGAAGTTCGAACAATGGAATAAATCAAGAACCTACCAAGACATGCTCCTACAAAGATTTCACCAATTCCAAGCCACATACCTTTAATGGCACCGGGGGAATGATAACCCTAAAAAGATGGATTGAGAAGGTGGAATCAGTGTTCGAGATATGCGAGTGCCCTGAGGAGATGAAGGTGAAGTTTACCACATGCACGTTCGTTGATCAAGCTCTCACCTGGTGGAACGGACATATAGAAGCCATGACTCTCCCTGTAGCCAACTCTATGCCGTGGGAGGAGTTGAAAGAAATGCGGATGGCCGAGTACTACCCGCGAGGCGAGATTCAGAAGATGGAGCAAGAGTTGTGGAACCTTACTGTCAAAAATTCCGACATTGATGCATACATATCAAGGTTTAGCGAACTGTCTTTGTTGTGCCCTGGCATGATTACTTCGGAGGGAAATAAAATCGAACGATTCATCTAGGGATTAACTTCCCCAATTCAAGGAAATGTGATAGCTGCAAATCCTGAAACCTTCGACAGTGCGAAGAGGTTGGCTAAGAAATTGTATGACCACAACAACAAGAAGGGAGAGAAGCCAGGGGAAGCTGAAGGTAAGAAGGAGAGTGACAACAAGAAAGGGAAGAATAACAAGAGAAAGGGACGACAAGGCTCGAAGTCGTTAAAGAAGCAACAGACAGTGACAATTAATGCTGTAACCACCCAAGTTTCATCCACACCACATGCTCCAGTCTCAGCTGCTCCAAGTGCTCCTAGGCAGTATTCCGGAAATCTCCCAAAGTGTAACAAGTTCAGTCTCCATCATAATGGCGAATGTAGGGAGATGCATAATACCAGTTGCAATCGAAAGGGTCTCATGGAAAAATATTGCAGGACCTATCCTCCCCATAACCAACAGTAAGGAAACAACAATAACAATAACCGCAACAACAACAACAACAACAACAACAACAACAACAACAACAACAACAACAACGGAAACAATGCAGGACCGAGCCACACCTGCTATGGATGTGGAAAGACTGGGCATTTCCATCGAAAATGCCCCAAAAACAACAACCCTGGGAATGGAGAACAGGAAGAGTGCTGACCATGGGTCAGGGAGAAGCGGTTCATGACCCCACAGTTGTCACCGGTACGTTTCTCCTAAACCACATTTATGCATGCATCCTATTTGACACCGAAGCAGAATGAAGCTTTGTGAGCAATAGATTTAAACACTTGTCAAATCAACAACTCCAGAAGCTTAATGAAACCTTTACGGTGGAAATGGCCAATGGGAAAACATAATCCACTGGGGAAATCTATATCGGATGTACCCTAACCTTGAACCAACATGTCTTTCAAATAAACTTAATGCCTATTTCCATTAGGAGTCTTGATGCGATTATTGGCATGGATTGGTTAAGCCCCCACCATGCTGAAATTATGTGTCACGAGAGGGCCATTCTCCTTTACCTTCCAAATCTCGAAACCCTGATTGTATACAGAGACAAACCTAGCATAAACCTTCGTCTTATCTCATGCATTAAGGCACATAAGTATCTACGAAAGAAAGACTTGACGTTTATGGCTCATATAGTGGATAAAACCAAGGGATAGGTCAATATTCGAGACATTCCAGTAGCTTGTGAGTTCCCAAATGTCTTTCCTGAAGATCTTCCGGAGTCGAGTTTTGAATTGACCTTGTACCAGGAGCTATGCCCATCGACAAATCGCCCTACAGATTGGCTCCTGCAGAGATGCAAGAATTGTCCAGCCAACTCAGTGAGCTTTTGGACAAAGGATTCATCCGACCCAGTTTCTCACCATGGGGTTTCAGCCAAAACCCTAATTGGATGAATTAGGCCCTAAGTAATTTGAGAACCTTCTGGAATAAGGCCTCTATGGCCGAAATTAAGATGGACTCATCCTTAATTTCATCCATAACCTAATCCACAAGGATTCTCATCCCAATTTTCAACTGTCACACAATTGATAGTTCTAGTCCCCTTTATTTAATTAATGTCTTTTAGCCACAAAGTTAATTCTTAATTAATTATTGTCTAATATTAATTAAACTATATGATTTCTCTTTTAATATATTATTCAAATAATATATTGATAAACCATAATAACGTCTCTCTTCATAAATCTTCCTGTCAAGTTGCTTTGGTAAAGGCAACCCAAAAGGACCATGCACGACTGGGTCAAATACATACCAAATATAGTTACGGGCTTAGACACTAATCCAACAGTACGTTGGTCGTAATGAGTAGGGAAGATCGCAGAGTGCAATCCTGTATGATGGGTGTACTCTAGTCATATGCAAACCCTAATTTAGGGTCTTGGACCCTATTTAAAGTCATTAAATCATTCCCAATACTTCTTATCTTTAGCCTCCATCCCCTCTAACCCTAAATTTGAAACCCTAGCCCCAATTTGGAAGGAATTTGAGACTTGGAGTGATTTTGGTGGATTTTTGGTACATTTGGAAGAAAAGGAACTCCTTGGAGAAGTGTTGGTTGTCTTGGAGCTTGGAGATCTAGACCTTATTCATCTTAATCTAGCATCTGGAGGTATAAAAATTTAAAATTTATGGATTTCTCATGTAGATCTAGTTTAGGTTATGATTTGACATCTGTTGGTCCCGTAGTTGTGGTTATTGTGAGTAGAAGTTACTCCAAAACCTTTGAGCCTCATATTTGGTTTTTGTTGAGGTCATTAAGTCATATAAATCGAATCTTGATAAGTATAATCCTTCCATGCATGAGTTAGTGGTCTTTTGATGAAGTTTGAGACTTAGGGCTTTGGTTTGGATCCCATTAAGCCATGTAAAGTAATAAAGTCATGAACATTATGACTTAAGACATACCTTGGAGGTTAGATCTGAGGTTTAATGTTTTGGTCTTAAGCATTAAATCCTTAAAGTGAGAAATGGTCACCAAGGTAGTACGTTGGGCATACGTATGTGTACACTTAACGTAATGCATGGTTTCTCTGATTCCTTGTTATGATGGGTAGTACTCTAAGCTTCAGTATGTAGTACATGGGGTGGAATAATCCGGTATGCAGGGTGTACTTGTGTGATGCTCTTTTTGGGCCTTTTGGGCCTTTGATCTCTTGGGAATTGGACCATGAGTTGTTGGGTCTGATATAGGAAGGCAAACTGGTCTTTTACCCATTAAAATGATAGAAAATTAATTAGACCTTGGATTATATGGAATTACATTATTTATTGATTAGGGATAATTTGGTTGTGTTTAGTGTGAGGTACCTGGTTGCAACAACGCGTGTGTTTCGGTTCTCTCGGATTAAGGTGAGTCTCCTCAGTATACACGTAGGTAGAAGGCACCAATGTCGGCCCACTAGGATATGTGATATGCTACCTGTCTTTCTAACTCTTGCATAGTATGTTGGGCTAGGCCCATTGTATGTCAGGCTAGGCCCATTGTATGTCGGGCTAGGCCCATTTGTATATTGGGTTGAGCCCATAGACTAGGAAGGGCTACGCCCATTGTATGTTATGTAGGATGCTCGCTGACCATGTGTGTAACATCCTAAAATCTAAGGCTAAAAACTTCATTTTAATTATAATACAACCATCAATCAAAATCTCAACACATTAGAGACATATAAAGCGGAAATCGTGGTTTGTGCGATGCAATCATCCCGAGATCTTCCCCTTTGATCTAGAAGTACCTGAAACATAAACTGAAAACCTTAAGCATGAAGCTTAGTGAGTCCTCAAAATACTATATAATATACATATCTGCCAGCTCAAGGCTGTGCTGGATCTATTTCACCCCGAGTCTATTTCACCCTGAGTCTATTTTCACTCATGTGTCGGCTCAAGCCGTACCGGGTTCATTTCACCCTGAGGTCTATTTTACCCTCGAGTCTATTTCAACTTATATGTCAGCACAAGGCTGTACCGGGTCTATTTCACCCCTGCGTCTTTTTCACCCGACATACATATAGCAAACAGGCACATAGGCATATAAAGCATACAATAAGACTCACAAATACTACACGCACGTAACATATAGTAGTGTCCTACAGTATAGTGAAAATCTCACCTTAGTCTGCTGACAGTCAAACAAATGATTGGGCTGCCGAACCGGAAAATCCCCATTAAATCACAACAAAAAAACCCTAAATAAAAATTAAGTCAATAATCCAACCTGTGATTCGAAATCCTAAATCCTAGCCTTAAGGGGAAAAAGTTACTTCTTCCTTCCTTTATAGGCCTAACCTATCAAGGCCCAAATGCTCCCGAAAGATAGCCTATGTCCATAAGGGGACCAAGCCCAAAAGCCCATCACAGAAAATCTTACGGTCCAACAAGGGCCCAAAGTCCCTAAATCCTACATATGGCCCGAAACAAGCCTAAGACCCACTCTCATGAGTACGATCAATGTACCAATTAGTACGCCCAACGTACTCACACCCTCACATCATCGGGACTTC